ATTTAATGTGATAAAATTGATAAATTTTTTATTCTTGTCTTTTTCTCTTAGCTGCACTGAGATTTATTCGTGCCTGCATAGGAACGAAGGATGAAATGCTCTACAGTCATTTCATTAACAAAGGAAAAGATATATTTGGCTACGTAGTTCGTGCCTTATTGGATACTAATGGGAAGGATAATCTCATCAACTCGGCCTGTCTTGAATTCTTCGAGTTTATTCGAAAAGTGAACCTTTTTTTTTTTACATATTCCAGCAGAGATTATCGTTAATACACTTACCGAAAGTTTTAATACAAATTTTTTATTAATAGGAAAATATCAAGTTTCTCGTAAATCACATTTGGGAAAAGTACGGGGATAAAATTTCTACTATTGATTACGTCGATTGTTTCAAACAATTCAAACTTCGTTACGAGCAGAATAATGAAGTGATTCAACATATACAAGCGGTATCCGGTCCAAGGTAATCTTGTCGTTTTTAGCGTTTATGAATGAACTTTTTTTTTTGATTTTGCTTTCATTATTTTCATTATTACTTTTTTTTTCTTTGCAATAGTCAAAGTACACCTCGTAGATCTGGTAATGACGGATGGGAAACTGATTATATGGATATTGATGAGGAAAACTATTTCAACACATCTGACGACGAAGAGGATAATGTCGTTCCCGAATAAATTATTGTGTAGGTTTTTTTAAAAAATCGGAGTATAATTTTAGTAGGGATGGAATGAAATAGCCGTGCCGAACCGGGTTTCATGTGACCGGTCCAAACAACCAGTTCGGTCGGTTAAATATCCAGTCATGTAATCCGGTTCCTCTAGCTGAACCTACAGGTTCCATTTAACCGATTCAAAAGTCGGTTTGGACTAATTCGGTTGATAACCGACCGGTTCTCTAGTTCAATTCATTCTTTACTTGCTTAATTAGTTATAATCATCATGAGCAGTAATTCGGGCCAAATTGATCATAAATTCCTGATTGAAAGTAAATTCCAATTTGTTTTCGGAACATGTTGGACGAGACGATAAAGGTTAAAGTATACTTAATTCATTTCTCTTAAGCAAATCGTTCATTAATAAATTCTTTATAAGAGAAATGAATTGAATACTCTCAAGTATAGTTAAAAATTTAAGATTTAGTAGTAATTTCAAAATTGTGAGTTATATATTTATATATAGATCACTGATAGTAATAGTCTCATATATTTATCATATTAATGGTTAAATTATAAAATTTTAATATATTATTTTCTTTTTAAATTTTCTTCCATCATTATTGATATAGAATTAGGCTTAGCGTTTAAGAATTTTAGAAAGAATATTGAGATTTTGATGCTTGATTTCTTATTATAAATAAATTAAGTAATATGTTTTAATATATAATATTAAATAAAAATATATATATTAAAATTTATTTACTATTAATATATTATATTCTTATTATAAATATTCTGAAATTAAAGATAAATACTAAAAAAAAACAAAAAATTTATTCAATAAAATATATATTTAAGATTTTATAATAAAAAAAAAATTTTTACTTTTATATATCTGTGACTTAGGATAAAATATATTTAAATTTAACATTAATTTATTTTTATTTTCTGAAAATTTTCCTTTTTTTATATATTTAAAATATAAAAGTTATAATATAAATTAAAATATTATTTCTTAAATTTTAATCATTTACAAATAAATTTATCTATTTATTATTTTCTAATTTATTTTTATAAAAATTAAAATTATTTTATAATTAAAATATAGTAATTTTTATTTTTAATTATTATTACTATTTTAAAATAGTTGAAATTTGATAATCTATAAGGTGATAATCAAAAAACATACTAAAAAACATTAAAATCATATGCAAATGTAATACTAAAATAAAAAAATTTTTGTTATCAAATCTATATAGTTCCTGTCAAAAGTAATGGCAGTAGGATATTGTTTTTTTTGTAGATTGCAATATCTCTATTATCTTGATTTGGCTTATTGTTTATTAAGCCAAATTGGATAATAGAATGTTTATATAAAATAAATAATAAAAAAAACAAATTAACCTTTTTTATTACTCACTGAAATCAAAATGCCATCAACATTTATTAAAACGAATCATGAAATTATAAAGTTCCTTTAGAACAGAAACATACGTAATGCAAGAAAAATTTTCACCTGAACTGAAGTTTCCTTACGATCTTGTGAAAAATATGTTGCTTTTTTACAAAAAAAAATGGCAATATTCCTGAAATTCATCAATCTAGCTGTCCACGAAAATTGATGTTTCAAAAACGCCACTACATTGAAATGATCATCAAGAATGATTATTTTACTACAGTAGGAAAATTGAAGGTCATACTTGAAGAAAAGGATATGAACCTGCAGGTTAATGAAACAACTATTTGACGAGAGCTTCACTATCTTGGTTATGTAGTATAGAAGTATGCTTCAAATCTGATCAATCTGAATATCTGGTCATCTATCCAAAATTTGACTAGATTTAGATTGATTCATTTGTATCATAGGATTAACCGGATAGAAACTGGATTTTCTGATCGATCTGATGACGTGTTTCAAAATACGAGGCCTCTGATCATTGCCATTTTTGGAAATTGAATTACACAGATTACACAAAATGTCAGGACTGCAGAAATCAAAAATTAGGAAACAAATTTTTTGTGGAATGGCAATCACAAAAAAAAGAAATGATCGATATTATGGGTGCACAAAATGTAAAATTTAAAAATAGAAATTTTTTTGTGAAACAGCTATCATCAAAAAAGGAAATTGATTGACATATCCGTATGCATAGAAATTAAAAATCATGTGATTTTTCGTAATTTTTATAATTCTGCCTAAATTTTATAATTCCAGCCGGAATTATGAAAATTGATCAGATTATATTAGATAATCTGAAATTTGACCAGATCAGATGACAGATTGATCAGATTTTACTGGAGTTGATCTCTAATATAGCAGTTCTTCCTTAGAAAGTTCCTCTCTTGACCCAAAAAGTGAAAGACAATCATTTATCTTTAGCGCGTGATCACTTGTATTATAATTGGAAAAAAGTGATTTTTTCTAATGAAACTATGATCCAAATGTTTCATAACACAACTTTAGCATAGTCTAAAGATGAAAATCCTATTTAACCTATAGTTAAACATCCTTTTAAAATGCATGTTTGAGTTGCGATCAATGTCAAAGGGAAGGTTAGCATGTACATATTTACTGAAAATTTTGATCATCACTTATACTGCCAAATTCTTAACAATCATCTCTATGATAATGTAAGTGAATTACTGAGCCCACGCTTACCAGTATATGACTATATCAAAAAACTTAAAAATGACAATACTTTAAACCTCTTACCTCGCTCTGGTAGACCAAAGAAACTTTCTCTTAAAAAACGTTATTTCTTGGTCGTATCATTTCAGCAAATAGATATTACATATATATTGAACTTGCGAATATTTTGAATGAAAATTATATTAACCTTAATGTAACTGACTGAAATATGCTTAATAAACTTAATAATCTTAATTACTTTAGTACTATTCTAAAAACTATATCCTTGCTAATTGACCAACAAAAGCAGTGTAAAGTGGAGTTTACTATGAAATACAGAAGACAAAATTGAAATAAGATAGTTTTTTCTGATAAAACCACATTTCAGATGTTTCAAAATACTCAGAAAGTCTTTCATAAAGTTAGTATATAGCCTCTACACAAATCTATGATGAAACATCTGTACAAAGTTCATGCATAGGATGTCTTTTCAGTAAAAGGTCCAATTGGCTTTCTTCTTTTTACAGGAATAATGGATGGATATTTTTACTAGGAAATTTTGACAGAAAACCTATTTGAAAATACAAATTCTATCATGAGAAGGTATTAGGTATTCTAACAGAACAACAATCTAAAGCATATAGCTAAGAAAACTAAGAAATTTCTTTTAGAACGTTGTTTAAGGTTGTTAGATTAGTCTTCGAACAGCTCAGATCTCAATCTGATCAAAAATTTATGGTTGATTTTAAAGGAGCATGTGGAGAAACAGGTTAAAAAACTGGTTCTTAAAAAAAACCAGTTACTGTAGATGTTTTTTGTAAAATAATTCAAGAGGAATGGGAGGAAATTAAACCAGAAATTTTTCTTAATTTAATTCATAATATGAAATCAAGGCTAAAACTAGTAATTGAAAGTGATGGTAATAAGATACCTATTGAGTGTTCTTAAGTAAACTTGTTCACGAGATCATAAAGGATATATATACAAATTTTTATGTGTTCATGATGCTTTATACTAAATATTTTTAAAATAAAAAACTTTTTAATATATTTTATTAATAAATCTATTTATAATTTTCATATATAGATTTTTTATAAAAATTATTATTATAATAATAATAATAGTAATACATTTTAATAATTAAAATTGAAAAATTATATATAATTGTATAATTTATACTAACTAATATAATTAGAATTAGAAATTTACATATACTAATTACAATTGATATTGTATTTTTATTAATAATAAATTTTTAGATAATGACCTTTAGCTATGGTAAACAAAAGCACTTGATTGAAACCAATTGAATATATGAATTATCAAATGAAATCCTACGCAAAAAATTTGGTTGAAAGGCAAAAAGTTCAGTTTTAAAAAGAAAAATAAGGAAAAAATTTTTGGCGTTATATAATGCTACACAAACTGAAAATGGTTTATATTTGCAACCGACATATTTTCAATTGTCATTTGATCATTCAAATCATTCAAGTTACATAAGAATGCAGAATACCGAACCCATATGCAAGAGTTTTCTGTTTATACTTTTATTCTTTTATTCTTTAGGTTTCTAATCTTAATAAAAACTTTTTTTTGTAAGTATATTAAAATCTTTTTTATTTCTTTTATTTCATTTGTATTGATATTCTGAGTTGTTTTATTTTCTTACATCTTTTTAATAAAGTTAATAGACTTTATCAAATAAAATTTAAATATGATAAAAATTTGGTCGATCAAGAAGGATAATTCTTCAGCTGAAAAGAAGAAACCTAAAGTCTCTGCGGCTCAGATTCGTGTTCAAAAAGGTAAAATTATCCTTTCTTAAAAACTTTGTCTGGTTTTATTTTGCTTGATTAGCTTTTGATGAATCGTTGAGCATAGTGTCACGATCTAACCTCTTCCGCTCAGCTCAATTTTTTCCGCCTTACTGGCAAGAGGAAGTCCTACTTGCTTTGTTTCTTTATTTTCTTTTTTTTTTTATACCTAAAAAAATTCTCAACTTTATCTATTTCTATTCTTTTTTTTTTTTTTTTTAGATTTGACTGAACTCGCACTTCCCGACACAATGCAAATGAACTTTCCAGATGAGGCAGATCTCCTTAATTTCAATTTGTCCATAACACCGGATGAAGGTACGACTGAGATTCTTTTGAATTCGTCAATATATTGTTATTAATTCGGCTTGATTTATTTATAACGCAGGGTTCTATCGTGGTGGAGTATTTAGATTTACATTCAACATAAATAATAATTATCCTCATGACCCACCAAAAGTTCGTTGTTCCCAAAAGGTAATTAAAAAAAAAATCAATACTTTTAAAGTATCCTATCATTTAACCCTTGTTTAATTGAATTTAGATCTACCACCCTAATATCGATCTTGAAGGAAATGTATGTTTGAACATTCTCCGTGAAGATTGGAAACCTGTCTTGAATTTGAATTCTGTATTGGTAGGGTTGCAATATTTGTTCTTGGAACCGAATGCTGATGATCCCCTTAATAAAGGTAATGTATTGGATCAACTTTATATCGTGTAATAATTTATTTGTAACCCTCATCTCTCCCTTTTAGATGCGGCCGAGGATTTGAGAACAAACCGAAAAAATTTCGAATATAATGTCAAGCAATCGATGAGAGGTAAAGATGTTAAAGGTGTTTATTTTGACAATGTACTGATGTAGGGTATATATAGATCATGTTTAGTTATTATACATTTCCAAACACGTTAAGTTCACAATAATAACAATCCTATTTGTTATGACATGAGCTTTTTTTTTTTTTTTTTTTTTTTTTTTTTTTTTTATAAAAAAAAATACATAACAAGCTATACTCTTAGTACACACAATTATTTTCATTGCTCAAATTTAAAAAAAAAAAAAAAAAATTCTTGGTAAAAGAAATTCCTTTTGAACTAGCTTGAATTATTCAAATAATTGTGTTATGTTTGATTTGTTCACTTCTCTTTATACTTATGGGCTTCGAGATAGCTCCATCTCAAAAATTTTTGAAAAAGAACAATTTATTTATTTATTTATTTGACAAGGAGATAATTTTACAGATAATCAAAAATAATCAAAATTTCTTGAAGAATTCAGCCAATAATTTTTTTTTTATAACAAATTGTAAACAGTCTTTTAAATACCAAGCACTGTTCTTTTGTTATACTAATTACAAATAAATTTTATACAGCAAGAACCAAATTAAACATAGTATATTTTTAATTTATTTTTGGTTTTACAATATTAATGACATTAGTACATATGATTTTACAATTTAACACCTAATTTTTTTGAAAAGAAATTGGCAGGATCAATTACACTCTCAGGATAAGGTAAAACACCGACTTTTCTCAGGGAATCACCACCATCAACAACAATTATCTGGCCAGTTATAAAACTAGCAGCATCTGACGCCAAGAAAATCGTTGCTTGTTCGATATCTGAAATAGATCCCTATACAATATACATTATTTACATGAGAATTGTTTTGGTGGTTTATTGTGAATTTGTTTTACTTCTTCCCATACTTACAAATCTTTGAAGTGGAATCTCTCTTATAGCAGCTTCAGTAGCAGTTGGAGGCAATAATTTTGCCGTCCCTTCCGTTTCTGCAATTGGACCAGGAGCAATGGAATTTACGCGAATCGAATGAGGTCCCCATTCAGCTGCAAGACACTTTATAATTGGAAGAATCATGTTAAGTTAATTCTAAAAAAAAAAATTAACACAAACAACATTTTATCTCACTCTACTCAGAGCATCATTTCCTGCTTTTGCGGCTGAAGCATGGGACTTTTTTTTTTTTTTTTTAAAAAAAAAAGAAAAATTAATTGATAATATATTGATATCAAAACAATCATGTCGAAATCAAATAACCTGATAGAGTGTGGATTGATAATGAAGATTCGCTGAAACATTTATAATACAGCCTTTTGATTTCTTCAGATATGGAAAGCAAGCTTTTGTCGTATTATAAGTTCCAAGTAAATCGATCTCAATTACAGTACGAAAAGCTCTATAAGAAAGAGTTTCGGCTGCTGCCAAAAAGTTTCCAGCTGAAGGGAGAATCACATGATGTTATTGAATATATAGATTATGCTCCGATAAAACTGTTCTAATAATAAAATAAATATATTACCTGCTCCATTGACAAGTATATCAATTTTACCAAATCTTTCGATTGCTTTTTCAACAACATTTATCATTTGTTCTGGTATACGAACATCGGCAGCAATTGCACTAAAAAGTATTTTTGATATAACAAAATGCCAATATGTTAAAACCCCTTTATTGTTCTCAAAAAATGCTTGGATTTTAAATTCGTCATTACAGGATTTCTCCTCGAGTTCTATTACGCATTTCTTCGGCTGCTTTATCGAGTTTTTCTTGACTAATTAATAAAAAAGTTCATAATTAAGGAGAATAATTATAAAGTAAAAAGTGATGAATTCATTATGAACACAAAACCTTCGGCTAGTAATAACGGCTTTTGCTCCGTGTCTAATCATAGCTTCAGTCATACCCTTACAAATACCACTTCCACCTAATATAGAGAAAAGATAAGATTTTTTTTAATGAATTACGTCATGAAATTTAGTGATTTTACCTCCTGTAACGAATGCTACTTTATCTTTTAAAATATCCTCTTTAAAAATTTTGTTTGTTGCCATAATGAAAAATATAGAGTTTTATTTAAAACCATTTGTACTAGTAAAATTTATACGGATCCGTTTTTGAATTTTATCCAAAAGGGGCGAAAATGATTGATCAAGCCACATAAAAATGATCCATCAATGGGATAACTCTGAAACACAAAAAACACAAAAAAAAAAAACGAAAACTTGAATGATTACTTTTCAAGTCCTTGAAATCAAACAAGTTATTTTAAAAACAATGGTACACAATTGTCTACAAAAGTTTAAGTATTTTTAATATGTGGCTGATACCTATCTATTTTAAAAATCTTACCAACTATAAAATAAACATTTCTTTCTGCAGTTTTTAAGCAAATCCGCTTTAAAAAAAAGGAAGACATAAAAAGGTACGCATAAGTAAAAATAACTTTCTTGGAGAGTTATTACACAACGTAAAGTTTTCTGGGTTGTTGTACACGAATCTTGTATCTTTATAAGAATAGAATTTGTTTGTTTTATTTACACAAACAACACAAACATATCTTTTCCTGAAATTTTTTTATTTTTATTTTTTATTTTTTATTATATAAAAGATATAATTTTTTTTTGGTTGGTCGTTTCTTTATTGTTCTCTTGTTTCTCCTTTTACTTCTTTTTAATACTTATTTGGATCTCATTGACTCCGCTCCGTGCGGTCAAACTTGCTGAAAAGATTGCAGCATGGAGCGGGATACCAACGCTTTGTATAATACCTTGGGTGTACGAAAAAGTGCTACCGAAGACGAGATTAAAAAATCATATCGACGTTTGGCATTAAGATATCATCCTGACAAGAACCCTGATGCTACCGATCAGGTAATTAAGAAAAAATTAAAGTAATAAAAAAAATTTTTTTTCATTTTCATTTAAATTATTAATTACTTCAAAAAAAACAAAAAATTATATAAGTTCAAGGAAATTACACATGCATACGAAATACTTAGCGATTCCAAGAAACGATCAGTATATGATAAATATGGAGAAATGGGAATAAATATGATGGATTCGATGGCTGGATTTTTATTTGATCCAGATATTGAGGGACCATTATGTATGCTTTTCACCACCGTTTCGATTTCGATCATTCTCTTGATTTTGTTCTTCGCTTTTTTATCAATACGAGTAGATAAAAAAGTAAATTGGAGTTTTGGAGTTGTGTTCATACCTTTGTGGATTGTAGATTTAGTGTTATTTGTTGGATTGGTTGCACAAGCAAAGAAAGAACCAACTGAATATGATGAGCATGATGCAGAGGAATTCGAAGGATTATATCATGGCGATAGAGAACAAGCGAGAGAAGCAAGAAGACTACAACAAAAAAGATTACATCGTCTTAGAAATTTTCTGGCGATTGCATATTTATTATTGTTCTTCACATTTCAAATATTAATAGTTCTCCGAGCAGATGGGGTTAAAATTTTGAGTGCGGTTATCGTATTTATTCCATATTTTATTATCGAATTTATTAATGTATACCCGAATATCATGGAGTATGTTGGTATACTCAAAACCACTAGAGTGTACGATCATAATGGTAAACCTTCTCTAAAGCTTAAGATTAAATTGTTCTTTGAGACATTTTGGTGGCTTTTGATCAGAGTAGCTTTAGCAATCTTAATCGTCCTTAATATTGATGGTGTTATAAAAGTTAGTTGGGGAATAGTATTCTTTCCATTATATTTAGTTGGATTTCGTTATGCACTTGAGATTTTATCGCAATGGCGGTTGCTAAGGAAAGCCGAGCCTTTACAAAATAGATTAAGGGTTGATGTTTTGGTTTCAGCTACCGTATTAGGAGTGATTGGAACTTTATCCTACACTGTTATAGGATTACTGGCAAGTAGACTTGATGGAAATGATGGAATTAGATTATCATCAATTCTAATTCCTGTTTTTATCGTCCTATCCCTTTTGTTTTGTTGCTCGGGATGTTGTTTACCTTGCGTTTTCTTGAATTGGGGTGGTGATGATTTCGAAGGTAGTGGTGAAGCTCCGTTTATATCACCTGATAAAAGAATAACATATCCCTCTGTAGCTGGTCCGAGTTCAAGTTCAGGTGGAAGCAATGATGCAGTATAATAATTTAACATTAATTAGCAAAGTAGAATATGAATGAAGAGAACCGATTCGTATCTTTCCATTTTATTTTATTTTATTTTATTTTTTTTTTAAAAATAACCATTAATTGGATAAAAAAAAAAGGGGGTTTTTTTTTTCGATCACATAAATGTATATATGCTACTACTATTACCTTTAAAATTGTAAAGTAGATATACTGATTAGTTATATTTGTATCTAGATTTTTTATAGTATTTTTAAATCCTGAGTTTTAATCTAAAAAATTTAATCGAAGTAATTATAATTCGGGGCCCATTGAGGTCAAAAAAAAAAAAAAAAAAAAATCATTAGAAAAATGATTTTTTCTTCACTATTTGCTTTTTTTGTTTTTTTTCTATATCTTGAATATTCATTTAACAATAAAACCTTTTAATTTCATTATTAATTTCCGTAATTTGTAAATCAATGAAAAATTTCTTCATTAGCCACAGTTTGCCCATCACTATTGAATGCCAAAAAATTTTTTTTTTTTTTCCTCCTTTTTTTTTTTTCTCTTTTTAATTTATTTTTTTTAAAAAATAAATCTTTTAAAATATGGCAGCGGAATATAAACAAGTATTATATGAAATACAAAGAAAAAATGGGAATAAAGTACGTTTTTTTTATTTTTGCCACATCATAAGTTAGTTGAACTAGACTTTTATTTTTGTCATAGAATTGTGTTGATTGTGGAGCACCTAATCCACAATGGGCCTCGGTCTCTTTTGGAATATTTATTTGTTTAGAGTGTTCCGGAGTTCATAGGTCTTTTGGTGTTCACGTAAGGTAAAAAAAAAGTTTTTTTTTTTTTCAAATATTTTATTAGAGTTGAGGTGCTGATTCCCGTTGAATATATTAATATATATTTTAGTTTTGTTCGTTCAATAACCATGGATAAATGGTATGACGACCAAATTAAAAAGATGAAGGTAAGCGTATTAGAATTTATACATTCTTTTTAGCGATTGCAATTTTCATTGCAATACGAAATACATTTTCAATTTTTTTCTTCAATTTTTTTTTTAGCTCGGAGGAAATACTGAATGGAGAGAATTTTATGAGTCGTCATCTGAATATTATCCCGAAATGTCATTAAAGGATAAGTATCATAGTAGATTTGCAACTGATTATCGTGAAAAGGTTTGTTAAATTACTTTAGCTTTTCAAATTATTATTTTTTATCCTCTTCTAATACTTTTATAGTTGACAGCAAAATGTGAAGGAAGGAAATGGACACCGTCTGCACAAAGTGTCGGCAGAACTCCTAATCGACCGTCATCATCCAACAGTAATCGATCATCAATTCAATCATCAAATCGTAATAATATTGGTGATGCAACGAATACACGAACAGCGTCTTCGTACCAATCATATCAATCAAATGGAGATCTAAGTAGCTTAAGTAGCGATAATAGTCTCTCATCTGATAAAAAGGAAAGAAATGAAAAATATTTTGCGACTTTAGGAAAAGCAAATGAATCGCGACCAAATCATTTACCACCAAATCAAGGAGGAAAATATACGGGATTTGGTAATCCAGCATTTACAAATGAAAGTTCATCATCAACTTCGAATACTTCAGCACCAGATTTAGATGAATTAATGAACGATCCTGTTAAAGCCTTCACGAAAGGATTAAATTTTCTTGGATATCATGTTGTAGAAGGTGCAAAGTTAGCAGCTCAAGGAGCTGAAACTTTAGGACAAACTGTTAATGAACATGTAATTAAACCTACAACCGAAAAAGTGAGAGATCCTGAATTTACTTCACAAGTTGCAGGTTACGGAGCTTGGATCGGCAAAACTGTTAGCGAAACTGCATCGAGAGGTATATCTACTATATCAAGCATTTCTTCGAATCAACCTTCTTTTTTAAGTAGACAACATTATTCGTCTATATCAGACGATTCTTATAATAATAATAGTAATTATGATGTGGACAATGACTTTTTTGCTGATACCATCAATCAATATCAACAAAGAAATTCTCCTTCTGATAGTGGAAGAAATTCTCCTTTTAATATTAATAGTAATAATAGTAATAATAATAACAATAATTATAATTATAATAATAATAATAATAATAATAGTAATGTAAGATCTTCTTCACCTAAAATTTCTTCGCCTGGTTCTACAACGACTAGAAGAAGAAATGAAGGAAATAAGAAAGATGATGGTTGGGATGACGAATGGAACAGTTGGTAACTGACGTAATAATAATTGAGCATAATTAAGGATTTCTTAGGGGGAGAAAGTAATATTTGAAACTTTCAAGAGTAATCTCTGAGAGGACGTTGAGAAACTTCATATATATGATACTTTTTTTTTCTAAAAAAAAAAACAGTATTAATAGAATTTTTATTCATCCTATCTTAATTAAATTTAGAGAAAATATATTATATATTAGAATTTATTTATTTATTTATTGAACACTATTTAATTATAGCAATTCTAATAATAATTTATCATATTTTTGGTTTTTCATACGGCTTAATTTTTGTAAAAGGCAATAATTAATGTTATATTTTAATAAAACCTAGTTTTAGAAAGATTCACTTTTTTTCAAATTCAATAAATAAATAAATAAATATTTTTATATTTTTTTTTTATTTTTAATTATAAGCTTGAATTTAATATAAAAAGAAATTTATTATACTTTAATTAAATAAAAGTTTATATAAATTTAAATTAAAATTATATATATGCTTTGCAAAAAAAAATTAATTATTATTTAAATATCATTTTACTATATAAACTATATCTACAGTCAACCCTCTCTAAATGCACACACTATATATTTTCTCTCTAAATGCACGCTCTTGTTCAGTCCCAAGCATATAGAATTCATATAAAAATTTTCTCTTTAAATGCACACCCTCTTTAAATGCACATTTTTTAAAATTTTCACTATGGTCCCGAGGGGGTGCATTTAGAGAGGGTTGATTGTATTAAACTAAAATTTATGTATATCATATTATTTTTAATAAATTATAAAGTTAGTTGCTAATTTATGTCTTCATTTATTAAAAGTTTGATACAAATACAAATATTTACAAATAAACCTAAATAGTAATCAAATGAATTTGCCAAATACTTTATTCTATTTAATTAAGTAATATTTTAGATTTAAAAAATTGTGTGATTTAAAATGTAATGATCTACGAAAAAATTGGTCCCACTTCTGATTCGTTGAAAATCACGTTAAAATATAAAAAAAAACCAAACGCGTTTTTTATTTTATTTTTTCAACTTTATTTTCGAGTATGAAAGTTAAAGTAAAAGGGTGCGTTAATAATAATAAATTTTTTTTTTTTTTTGACTTCCTTTTACATTTTCTCAGAGTAAATACTAATCTGTTTGTTATAGTTGGCATGGAGTAGCAGTTTGGAGATGGGATGTGCCTAACGAAGAAGTATGTGGTATATGTAGAGTACCTTTTGACGGTTGTTGTCCTACTTGTAAAACTCCCGGAGATGATTGCTCGCTAAGTTAGCGCCCTCCTTTTCTTAATTTTTTTTTTTTTTTTTTTGCATTTGTTTATTTATTACTCAAAAATTATATTTTTTTTAGTATGGGGAGAGTGTACACATGTATTTCACATGCATTGTTTACTAAGATGGCTTCAAACAGAAGGAAGTCGTGGACAATGTCCAATGGATCGTAGAACATGGGGTATAAGCTTTTTTCTTATATATTTATATGTATGTATGTATCTATCTATCTATCTATAGAAAAGTAACAGATTCTTTCTTATAGTTACTGCAAAATGAAGTAATCGAATTTATTTTTTGATCTTATGGTTCAAAAAAGGAAAAAGTAAAAATAATAATAATAAAAAATATTGACCCAAAGGTTTATTATTATAATAAATATTTGGAAATTAATTAATTAATATAATATAATAATTTTTTTTAATAATGTTAAAAATAAAAAACTTTGATGAATAGAATTTTCTACGATATATACAAAGCAAAGTACATAATGAAAGACTACAGGTAGATGAGCAAAACGTACGTATGTATAATAAACATATAAATAATTTTTATGAATAATTAACTCCCTATTTTATTTTATTTTTGAAATTTTTTTTGATCTTGGCGATGAAAATATTCATGAAGGGTGGGGGGGATAAAGTAATAAAGTACAATGGTAAGGGATAAAAAAAAAATAATCAGCAAAATAATATTAATATCTAGTTCATAGTTGGATAAGAAAATTCAATGCAAAAAAAAAAAAAAATAAAAATAAAAAATATATATATCTATATTATATATATATAAATATAAAAAAAAAGGAAAAAAAAAAAAAAAAAAAAAAATATTTACAACGCTTCAAACAAAAATTATATAGAATCAGCAGATCTTTTTTTTTCAAAAAAAAAAATATTTATCATAACAAATAAAACATTATGGCTCCAGTCCACGTAAAATGTCAGGTTCCCATGAGGTAATAGATGATGCAGGACGTGATTGAGGTGGTGTTGGAGGTAAAACAATTGCTGTTGAAGGTGCGGAAAGTGATGATGCTGACGTTGACGCAATAGAAAGTTTCGTAGGAGTAGATGGTAAACTAGCGGTTTGTGCATTCATTAGCCTTCGATATGAAACTGGTGTTCTACATAACGGACTATTTACGAAAATAAATAGTAATAATCATCAGTAATTATATATTCGATCATTTAAATGATTGAAATTGGATACATACCAAGAATGCATCATTTTTGCACAATCAGAGCAAAAACCGTCATGATTACAAGGTCCCAATAAAATAGTAGGCGGCATTGCAAAACAAATCGAACATTGAGTGTCAAAGTCATCTTCCGTGGACTCTAGCTGTTGTCTCCAATATGGACTTACAGTCATTGAGCGATAACGTGATGCTCTCCAAACCCTCTTTTGTATTGAGTTGCGAAGTTCTGATGATAATTGTCCTTGACTATTCAGAACTTTAGAAGCGTATTTTTTTGGCGGTGGATATCTATAATAAAAGATCAAAAGGTTAAAAGCCATACCATTGATATTTTGATTATTTCGCGAAAATTACCGGAATTTTTCAGCTCCAAAATTAATTATGGCTTGTTGATAGGAAGTAAAAGATAATGCTGGGTGTAAACTACACTCTGCCAACTTTCGAAATTGAGTAAGGTTGAGAGGATGTACCACACCCAAATCTTTCCCATTTAGATAAAACCGAACGCAACCAAGGGGAACATCCATATAAACTCCGACCACATCACCTGTGACATTATCCATGATACAATTTATTAAATGAAAGAATTTCTTATATTGATGATTCAAGTTCAAGGGAAATGAGAGAATTACCAGGCTTCCATGATTCGGTTCCACCATATGGTACAGATACGCCATTCGCCTAAAGATACCAATAATAAACAAGGTAAATTTACCATGATGGTATGTAATAAATTTATTTAATTATAAAAACTAACCCATAGAACGTTCCTACATCCGTCAAATGCAAATCCATTCTATTAATTCAAATTTAAATTCATTTCGAATATTTAATACATTGGCTAAGCAAGATTTATAGAGAATATCAATATAAAACTCTCAAAATACGAACTAACCGGATCGTCTCCAACACCTGTACCTTCTTCTGGTCCAAACATGCAACGTTTAGTTGCATATCCAATCTAATCAGAGGATGTTATTTAAATTCCTAATGATCGACTAATTTATCAATTCATACATACCTGCATAATTCCGTTAGTCAATAATATTACTTCATAAAACCATTTTCCTGAAGTTACACCCATCGTTGCACGTATGGACTCGAACGTGGAATTATCATTCCTTATCTGCAAATGCGCAAATTTAATTTATATAATAAAAACAAATAATTATTTAATAATTCCAAAGAAAATTGTATGTACCTCTAAGCCATTTCGTGATATTTTCCAATGAGACGTAGCATCCAATGGGTTCAACATAACATTTATATGATTGGAATTTACAGAATCATCATCTGAATCATTTATGTCTTCCTATCAAATTTATATATATAATGTAAGAATATAAAAAAATTTATATTTAAAAAAATCGAAAATTCTTCATACCTTGCCTGAATCTTAATTAAACAAAGTATTAAATAGGATAAATTAGATTGGGAAAGCGAATCTTTTTTTTTTAAAAAAAAATAAAAAAAAAATCTTTTAGTAAAGCTAAACGTACCAAAAGTATTCTTCAGGGCCCATTCTACACAAAATTTTAATTGTCTTCGACGATTGACATCTTCAATAGATCCCTCACCCGAATGCAGTTCCTTGGCTATGCCTTGCAGAATCCCATGAATATCCCTTCCCGAATTAAGAATCTTTTCTTTATTTTGTCCGGTCATACCAAATTTTTCAAGAGCGATCAAAGCGAAAAGACGCACGCTGGCATCATTATCATAATGGAGATAATCCAGCAATGTAGTACATACATTATCCGAAAACAAGGATAAACTGATTTCGCCTATAAAATGATTTAGAATGTCAGTAATTACATTATTTTAAATATATAACGAAGTAACAACTCTTGACCTGCTAATTTTTCAGCCAGAACACTCCAAATTATAGCTGCGTTTACACGTGTACGCTTCTTTGGTTTCGATCGATATATACCGCCTAAAGATTTAAGGTAAAATAATAGACCTACTTAATATAATGATGAATAATTCTTAGAAAGCGAGTTAAAATATATCAATGGATCAAAGCATATCAACTAACCAGGCTTAAGTTTCTGTAGTAATCTTGTCGTAATTTTATGAGAGGTTTCTTTTGAAGGCAAAGCGGCACTATCTATATAACATTAAATAAATTATACATAAAATCAATTTAAATGGCTAATTTGAATTCAACTCACATACAAAAAAAGGTAGCTTAAAATTCTTATTACCGATAATGTGACACAAAAAAGCAGAAGCCATCGGAGCCTCCGATAGAACATCCACAATTACAGTAATGAGTTCAATGAATTCATTCTCTGGTATAATATAACAAGTTGGCATGATACAGGTAATAGATACAGTATATCAAGTCAAAGAAGTAAAATAAATAAATTTGAAAGTCGGAATTTCCTCATAAATTAATAGACAAGTACCTTCGTGGGACATGGAAATTAACGTATCTAATGCCTCAGCCAGCTCATCGTGCTCACTTAAACTATTTAAATTTTTCCAAGCACTACGAATGAAAGTTTTCCGGCTGAAACGACTTAAGATGCGTAAGGCAAGTTTCTGCATCGTTACGGGAAGTGATGTCTGGTTAATGGGCTCCAAGTGTCGAAGAGCCAAAAGATTTTAAGGGTTAAATAAGAACAAACTGTTGGGAGAAATTGAATAATAATAATAAAAAAAAAAAAAAAAACTTTTACTACGGCGCGAGTGACTCGGTCTAATATATAATAAATAAGACGAATAAATTTATATTATGCTTATTCAACACACGGATGTTACTTCATGTGCTAAACGATATAAACATAAATATAAATAAAATTTATTAATTGTGTCATCAGATTAACGTGAAAATTAAACTCCGCCACACAATCTTATAAATCAACCAAAAAAAACGTTTGTTTTCGATAAATATAACTTTCACAAACTTTTCTGAACTAACTTTATAAGCTACCGTTACTTACTTTTGAACCTGAAGACAACAAATGTCGAATTCTGTAGACCGAGCGGAAACTCACAAGACAAAAGGAAACATTCATTTCGGTAAAAAGGATTATGATAGTGCTATAAAGGATTATTCAGAAGCTATCGCTCAGAATCCAAGGAATGCAGTTTATTATACAAACCGCGCATTATGCTACTTGAAGTTAAATAAGTACGATAATGTGATATCGGATTGTGAGACTGCTATCAGCATTGATGCGAATTCAGTTAAAGGACATTATATGATAGGACAAGCATTAACGGAGAAAGAAGAATTTGGTTTGGCAATTTCACATTTACAGAAGGCATATGATCATGCTATCATTGATAAAGTAGCATTTTCTGCAGAGATTATTCAAGCTTTATTGAATGCAAGAAAGAAAAAATGGGAAGTCGAGAATCAACGACGACAAAAGAGTGAATCTGAAACATTGAAATATATCAAAGGATTAATTAATGCAGAAAGAGAGAAACAACTTCAAAAGGTTACTCAAAGTAAAGGTTCGATTGGTTCCACATTTTCTAAATTAGTTAATTCACATCCAATGGAAATTCAAGATAAAATAAATCAAATTAACCGTGCACATGATGAAAGGCTTTCTCAAATCGAACAAGTTTTTGTTCAATCGGAAGAAAACCTTCGTCAAGGAGAAATTCCTGAATATTTTCTGGATAAAATATCTTTCAATGTTATGCATGATCCGGTTATTACGCCATCGGGGATTACCTATGAGAGAACTCATTTGAAAGAACATTTCAAAAAAATCGGATATTTTGATCCGTTATCAAGACGTGAATGTAGGGAGAATGATTTGTATCCTAACTTGGCGCTTAAAGAAGCAATTGAAGATTATCTAAACAAAAATGGTTGGGCGGCCGATTATTAAAAGGAATTTCCATCATGGTTAATTTTCTAGGTTAATTAATAATAAAGTCCGAATGTAATTAATGTATATTAATTTTCATGTTAAGTATTATCCCCCCCCCCCCTTTGAGAATGAAGAAAGAACGTTATACATTGTAAAACCTCACTTTTTTTTTTTTTTGATTTATAATTTTTTTATTTTATCCATGGCAAAGGATATTATATATACCAGAATTAGTGATGACGATTCTTCCCCTTTATGAATTGAAATGTATCACAACCCTGCATGAGAGATTTTAGGAAAGGGTGCTAAGCCACTAATCCGAAAATCGAAGGTTTATATATCATCAATAAAGTGCAATATGTACTTTAGTACATTTAACATTTTAACTATTAACGCCATAAAAAAAGACTGAAGAAAGGTTTTCATTATTTGAATAAAAAGAAAGAGAATGAACGGAAGGTAATAAGATAGGCTTTAATAATTTAATTTGCTCATTTTATCTCAAAAATGAGAAAAATATAATATATTAGTCTTTCGCACACTAGCGAGATAAACACGAAAACGAAAAAGATTACTAGTAACAAAAATGATAGTAATAATAACACAACAAGTGCGACCATCACAACGAATTTTCTTAGTAGCGATATGTTGTTGACACCAGAGAAAACGCAGCTTCCATCTCCAGCACATACAACAACGACAACTCTAAAGACATCTCCACTCCCTCACTTATCAGAAGAACAAAGGGTTGAAATTAAAGAGGTTTTCGATTTATTCGATAATGATAAAAAGGGAGCTTTGTGTTACCAAGAACTTAAAACTGCTATGAAAGCTCTTGGTTTTGATGAGAAAAAACCTGAATTACTCAAGATTATCCGACAATATGATAAAAGTGATGAAGGGTTGATTTCATATGAGGATTTCTTTAAATTTAGTAAATATTTTGAAGAAATTTTGTTTTACTTGTCAAAATTACATTTTAGGGAATTAATCTCAATTGAACTTTTTCGTTACTTAGTGGCGGAACGAATTGTGAATAGATCACCAATGGAAGAAGTTCATAGAGCCTTTCAACTTTTTGATGATGATAATACTGGAAAAATATCACTTCAGAATCTGAAGCGAGTTGCAAAGGAATTGGGAGAAAATTTGGATGAAGATGAATTACAAGCGATGATTGATGAATTTGATTTAGATGACGATGGAGAAAGTATCCTTTTCGCGTTTACATTTGACAATTTGATTTTTTTTTTTTTAAAAAAAAAACTTTTTATATATATTATCTTTGACCAATTTTTTAAATTTAAAAAAAAAAAAAAAGTAAGCATGAAAGAATTTATTAAAATTATGACCGAGGAATGACAAATATCTTTATTATATAATGTATATAAGAAAAATTTTCCTTACGAGATTTCGCAAATATTTTTGCAGTAAAGGAAAAAAAATATATTTATCAAAGAAAGGAAATGAGGAAGAAATAAATAAATCAGTTATTGCACAATATATAATTATTTTTCTTTGTCAAAATGTGTGTGGTGATAGGGACGATAAAATGGTTTTGGCTCGGGCTGGTCAATTCTCTGCTGTCCGAATGAATCAACTTCTTCGTAATCCTCAGATTGTGGTTCGAGTTTCGTATTTTGTTCTGTACGTTCTCGTTTTTCTTGTTCAAGCTGTCGATGAAATTTAAGTCGCTCTTGTTGTTTATGCCTACGTTCTTTATCTTCTTCAATGCTTTGTAAAATGGCGGCTTTTTGAAGTTCCTCCGCCTTCTTTTCTTTTTCTTGCATTCTCTTAACAGTTTCAGCTTGTTCGGTAACTTTCTTCAAATAATCCTCAAGTAATTGCTGAGCAATTTCCAACCTTTCCACTTGTCCAGATAAAAATAATTCATCGCTAATTTTCTCTCCACTTTTATCAGTACCTTTTAATTCTAGTATGAAAGATTTTTCAAAATCTACAATCTTTGATTTAAATCCAACTTTAATTAAAAATTCTTTGCCACCAACAATTTGCAAAACGTTTGAATTAAATGTATGATTCTTTTCACGTAATTTACGAAATTTTTCATTATAAGGTTCTTTTAACAGATTGTTTATTATTTGTAAAAGAGTTGAAACGCATTTTTGTGATATTGGAGGTGGATTGTGACGTGAAATTTGTTTAATGATAACATCGTGAAGCGACCTTTGAAATTCTTTCATTTTTGGTGAACTCATTTTTATTTACTGAGAAGGTGAAAACTGTGAAACGCCAAGTATCAAAAAGTCTCCCCGGATTAACCTGTAATTGGTTAGCAAAAGCGTATTTTTTTTTTTGATTAAATAAAAAGTATAAAATATATATATAAACTAGAAAAATAAAAAAATGAAATTTTTTTTATATCTCGATTTTCCGTATCACATTACACAAAGTTCACATATAAATCCGCAATTTCAAAAAACCTTAATTGTTGGTCCAAAAAGATCAAAAATGTTCCGAAAGGATCAATCAAATGATTTGTCACATAATAATGAATCTACGTAAGCATGAGATGTTTTTTACGTTGTCACTTTTAAAATCAATCAAGTAATAATTATTATTTATTCATAAGTGAAGAAGAATTGGTTGAACGATTTACAAAAATATTTGGTCATAAACCAAAACACAATCCTCCTCCTCTCGTAAAGAATATAGCGAAAACAAATGATTCGATAATAGACTTGACCATTGTCCCTTCAAATAATAATGTTTCCTTGACATCAAATTTAACCAATGCCCAATATAAATTACCGAAATTAAATGATGAAGTAAGTTATATTTATCAATGAAATAAACTATCTAAATTTCTAAACAATTACTTTAAATTTATGTTAGATTGAAAATTACTTAATAGACAAGGAATTATCAAATGTAGACTTTGATGAAAATGATGATACGGAAAATTTGATTCAAGAAATACAAGACGAAATAGATCTAGAATCGAAATATGAAGATAACTGTAAAGAGGATTTTAGTGAGATAGAAAGAAGATATAATCAATTGAAAGAATTTAATATTTCGAATGCACAATCCCAAGATAATAAAAAGATTATTAAGGATGATGATTTAGGACCTCCGCCTAAACCAATTGATTTGTCAGAATTTGGATTGAATGAAGAAGATCCTGATACTTGGTGTTGTAAGTATTATAGATGAGTAAAGAAAATCATTGAGTTTAATTTATTAATGTTTAAAACCTTCCAGGTATTTGTAACGAGGATGCTACTATAAGATGCAAAGACTGTGATGGAGACTTGTATTGTCAATCATGTTTTAATGAAGGTAATAATCAATCCTTCTAGAATGTTTTCTCCAAGTCTAACTTCAAATTGAAAACCCCTCTTTATTTACCTTTAGGGCATTTTGGACCCGATTCAGATTATGATATGAAACGACATATATTCGAAAAGTATGAAAGACGCGTAATTGAATTATAAAATTTAAAATTATCTAAATATGTATTGTGAAATTATAAAAAAAAATCGTTTTTAAGACTATTGCAAAGTTTTAGGCACGCTCGGTAATTTACTTAAAAGAATCTGAGTTTCCGCTTTTTGACGTTTTTTATTTAAATTGTCTTGTCTCAAATAAAAAATATTTCTATGTAACACATACTGTTTAGGCTTAGTTGGTCTGGGTGGTTGTGGTTTAATTGAAGGTTTGGGAGTTGCAACCTGTTGTTTTTCCTCCTTTTTTTCTTCTTTTTCCTCTTCCTTTCCTTCTTTTGTAGGTTCTTTTGATTTATCTTTCTCTTCTTGATTAGTGGCGGAATCAGATTTAGACTTTGCAGAATCTTCTTTTTGCGATCCTTTTATTTTTGTTGATTGAACAACTATAGTTGGTTCAGGTTTGGGTTCTGGTGCAGGAGTAGCAAATCCTCTGTCACTTAAATGGCTACGAAAATGAATAAATCAATAAATTACCTCTAAAAAAAAAAAATTTTTTTTCATATCCTTTAAATACAAACCTTTCACAAGTATAAAACCAATCTAGTCCATTATCGGTTCTTAAAACGGAAGTAGTAAATTTATTACATATAAAACATGGTTTATCTGCTGTTGTTATTCTATGCGTATACAAATTAATTAATTGTTCTGTTTTCTTCGACATTTTGCAACAACTTGTTCTTTAAACTCGATTGCCTTTGTAAAAAAAGTATCAAAAACGGTTAAAATGGGTTATAAAACTGGTTTATCCTATCCTTAATTTTACAAACTGATATAATAAACTATTGTATCTTTTACAATTTGTCTAAATATTCATTTATAATAAATATTGTTTGTTAAACATCGCGATTGTATTACCAATATAATATTTTGTTCAGATAATATGAAACTAATTTATATTAGATCTACTAGAATCCAAGTCATCTATAAAAAAAAAAGTAATGAAACAGAATATATTTATTTAACAAATATAAAAGAATATTTATTGAATTTGAAGAATTTTTCAAAGTTGGATAAGTTAGATAATAGATCAATCTGATTTGATTTAAAGTCTATATAATATAAAAAAAAAAGAAATATTAGAAAGAATTTACCTTTTTATAAGCATGTTGTAATAAAATCAGATAAAGTGAACATTTGTATTATCAAAAATTTCAGAAATCAAAAATTTAGTTATCATCAATATGATTTTATAATGTCATAATTGTTATCTTTGTTTTAAGTAATATAGAATTACTTATATAAAAATAAAAAATAATAATATAAAAATAATTTATATCAAATCTACCATAAAATTCAAAAATTATAATACTATAAAAAGTATTTAAAAAAGGAATAAGTCGAGAAAATTTATTTATATATTTTCAAAATAAATGATATTTAGATATAAGAAGCTTATTTAAGAAAAGAAAGGATTATCTATGAAATTTATTAAGAAAAAAAAATAATAAATATTAAAAAAAAAATAAAATAAAATAAAACAAAGATCAAATAAAACTAATAATGATTTAGAATATATTAATTTATCTGATTATCTATTACTAATTCAAAAAAATTATTAAAGAAAAATATAAAAATTGAAATAATTAAAAAGATAAAAATAATATAACTATTTGTTTTTTTAGAAAATATAAAATAATATTTAAATAAATTTTTATAAAAAATTAAAAGGTTTTGATTGATAAACAAAAATAGTAATAAAGAAAATATTATTATATTAATATAGTAAATAATTTTCAATTAGTTATATAACTAATAATATTAATATATGATTATACAAATATAATTTTTATAATAAACATCAATTATATATCTATTAACAATGTATAAATAACATATCTGTCAAAACTAATATTTTGATTATCTAACAATTTAATTAATTTTAATAATTAATAATTTTAGTATTTTAGTATTTTAAAATGATATTCTAAATAGTTTTAGTAGTTTTCATCTTTACTTTGTTAAAATTTAACAAATCAACCTTAAATAAATAATAATAAACAATAATAATATATCATTACTATTTCTGATAATTTAAAAAATTAATTAAGTTCTTTTTAATTTTATTTTCTTCTTTTTTTTATATTGTAAAAGATAATCATTATACTTAAAATATAAATAAGTATTAATTATTTTGATTCTTTTAGTAATAATAATTAATTTATTATAATGTCTTCTATATAATACTAAATTTAAATATTTATTAATATTTAAAATTATTATTTTATCAGATATTATAAAAGTACTATACTTATTATAATCACAAGTAACTTAATTATATCATAATATTTAGCTCTTTTATTACTTTAGTTTTAGTTTTCATGTTTTAAAATTTTACTAATAATCAAATTTTTACTTTGAATTTTTAAAAGTTTTTTGAAAAAAATAAAAAATATGATCATAATTCTTTTTCTCAATAGTACTATACAAAAAAAAGTTTAATTCTTACTTTTAATGCTTAGATATAAATTTTTAAATATATAAAATCAAGATATAAATATAAAAAATTAAATTTAGTCAATAAAGGTCTTGTACTAAAATGATATTAATTTTAGAAAATATCACTATTTTCTTTAAAAATAATATATATTATATCTATATTTTTAGATGAAATAATTGTAAATCTGTTTCTCTCTTTTCAAAAAATCATATAATTCAACAAATTTATTCTATAAATTTTTAATTAATATAACACATTTTGAATCAAAAAGCTTAATTAAATCAAAAGTTTTAAAAAATATAGAGTTTATCATTTTCCATTAAAGAGATATAATTCTAATTATTAATATCAAGAATCTTTTAAAATTCAAAGAAAATTTTTAAGATTTACATCTTCTTGACTATAATATTCTGAGTTTTATCATTAAATAATTCTTTATTTTGATTTTTTATAAA